CAGCTGAGGGGCCCAGCTGCTGCTGCTGCTGCTGCTGCTGCGGCTGTCGCTGCTTTTCTGGGACCAAGTCCACTCCCAGCAGCAGCAGAAACTGCAGCAGCAGCAACTACAGCAGCAGCCACTGCAGCAGCAGCAACTGCAGCAGCAGCAAGTGCAGCAGCAGCAACGGCAGCAGCAGCAACTCAGCAACTTAGGGCACCCAAATTGACGCCGCAATAAAAAACGGTCCCTACTGCAAAGAAAAGCCTCACGTGGCCCATCTGCAGCAGCAGCAACTGCAGCAGCAGCAACTGCAGCAGCAGCAACTGCAGCAGCAGCTACAGCAGCGGCAACTGTTGCAGCAGCACGACTCCGCCGTAGGCACCGTGCTTGCCTCCAATTGTTCACGGCAACACTAGCATTGCTGCTGTTTGCTGCTGCTGCTACTGCTGCAGCAGCAGCAGCAGCTGCTGCTGCTGCTGCGCTGTCTAGCAGCATGTCCACATGGGCGTTGCACTCTGGGGCCCCGGAGGCCCCAAAAGTTCCACAAGGCTTCTGGGGGCCCCCAGGGGGCCCCCGGGGGCCCCCCCTAAGAGCTGCTTAACGGGGGCCCCTGGGGGCCCTGTGGGGCCCCACATAACACCCTAAATAAAATGGGGTACAGCTGGGGGGGCCCCCTAATGGGGGCCCTCAGGAAGACATATACAACTAGGGGCCCCTCTGAGAGCCTCTACAAGTGGGGGCCCCCAGGGGCCCCCACAAAGTGGGGGCCCCTTGGGGACCCAACATAGTGGGGGCCCCCAAAAGGCCCCTAACAGTGGGGGCCCCCAGGGGCCCCCTTGAAAAAGGGCCTCCAGGGGGCCCCTACTTTTCTGGAGGGGCCCCTGGGGGGCCCCTGTGGGGCCCCAGAGAGGCCCCTGCGGGAGGGTTTGGGGGCCCCCAGGGGCCCCTGCTGCTCAGCTGAGAGCCTCAAAAGCTGCTGCTGCAGCAACAGCAACCATGACAAAACCTGCTGCCAGATTTAAAGAAAATTCGCTGAGCCAGCGCTGCAGCAAGAGGCCCCCCATTACCCCCAAAAGGGTCACCAGCGCGTGCCCGATGCAGCTTCCTGAGCAGCAGCAGCAGCAGCAACAGCAGCAGCAGCTGGCGCCA